AATATTACTTGTAATGAAAGTATGTTTTAAAGTTTTATGATTAGAAATTATATGTCTCATACATTGTTTGTAATGCCACCCTAACACTTGCACTCTAATATCCTGGGATACAACTTAAGCACCACTAAGTTAGTCCAAGCCTAGCACCCTAAAATCTACAGCTATATTGTTATACACAAAGCGCATATGCGAACACCAGTCGACTGTAATACACTTTGCATTGAGCACATGCGCTTTGTGTATAACAATATAGCTGTAGATTTTAGGGTGCTAGGCTTGGACTAACTATCCTGTATATAGTTATGTATTGTGATTTTAAAAATAAATTATGCTTTTACTAGTTTCATGGCAGGCACCTAACTTTTTATTCAAATACCTATCCCTACCTAACCTAACAAAAAATAACACTGATTATAATGTTTAACATTAATTTACAATAGATTGACAACGGGCTAAACATAAGTTTATAATTCATATTTATAAATAGTCATCAAACATTAATAATGTTACATTATATTGAAAACAAACAATTGACCACAATGAATAATTTTTTGTGTTAGTGTGCTCACGAGTCAGTACACTGTACTCTATTTAGGGTTGCCAGATAAATTTTGACCAAAAATGGATTCTCATTAAAAAATCAACCCTAAAACTGGACAAAAACTGGACATAATTATTCTGTTGTATTTTAATATAGTATATTTATAAAAGATAATTAACACTATTCTGTTAACATAATAATGAATTTTTACGTTAATTTATAAACGTTATTAGTAAAAAGTAAAAAAGTTATTAGTAATAACAAATGAATCTTATTTTTATTTTTTGAAGTAAAATATCACTTAAATTTTTATTCAACTAATACATACACTTTTATTCATACTGTATTAATATTCTTGAATTTGATAACATTGATCTTTTATTTGAGCTTAAAAAAGAATACTGGAATGCAATTTTTATTAATACTTATTATATTATTATATATTCATAATTGTATTGTTAGTTATGTCCAGTGCTGGAGATATAAAGCATAAATCTAATAAGATTGGAAACTTAGTAAACAAAAAGATACATTATTTGTAAATTTAATCTAATAGCATTGTAAATATATACTTAGTTCATATGAACTTTTATTTTACTAAATAATGTGGCCTCATTTTGTTGTAATTAAATATAGATTATATAAACCCATGAATAATGTAAATTTATAGCAAAATATTCATATTGCCGTAGAATATTTTCAAAAAATTTCAAAACGGGACACATCAATGTCCAGTTTTACCCCTGAACTGGACACGGGACAAGACCGTCCAAAACTGGACAATCCAGTCCAGAACTGGACGTCTGGCAAGCCTAACTCTATTGCTAGTTATAGTAAACACATTGTAAAAAAGCCAGGCCATTAACAATAGGTTAAGGCATGGACTCAAATGATGATTGTGTGGTGAACTGTACGCTCGGGTATTCACAACCGGCCACTACTGTGTACATCGCGCCCGTCATTGACCTGAGCCCCGATCTCAACAACCAACACGTGTACACAAATGGCAAACCCGTGACCACAACGAGACACCCGCGCCGTAAACCACTGCCAAAATACAAACGTCGAGTCCTACGACACTGTTGGCTACGGCAACGAGTGGACCTAATGATGATGTTGGTCATACTGGCACAAGTGGCCATGGTCATCATTGTGCCGCTCATTGTAGTGCATGGCTATAAAGAGATGCAATACATTAATATGTATTGGCGGTTATGTCCAGTGCTGGCCCTCACAGCCATCACATGTATGTCACCCGCGCTGACGGACGTGTCGAGTGAGCTATGGATGACAGTGTCGTTGATGTTTACCATGAGTTTGGTTTGCGTATGGATTGTATTTGTCAACTATATTAGAGGTATGTGTGCGCAAAGTGTAGTGATTGTATTGACTGTATGTTTAAAACAATTAGTTTTATTTCAGATGATATCCGTTCCCACGCTTTGGATGTGATATATTCAGTGATTGTGTCCATAGAGTGCATACCATTGTGTATATCAGCCGTATATCAGTATAAAATGTTGAAGCATTTGACGTTTAGCAAGACGTTTATTGAAGCCAAAAATATTTCTATGTATACTATGTAGTTTTCTTACAATATACATGTATAATACTTAATTGTTTTGATAGTAAATAAATAATTAAATTATGTATTTATGAATAAATATTGTTTATGCGACATAAATTATGCATAAAATTCAAAATTTGTAATTATCAGCAAATAATTACTGACTTTTAATTACTGACAATAAATTCTGACTTTAATACAATAAAATAATTATACAAATAATGTTCATCCTTGTTTTACAACATATATTTCATAAAAACTTTACTTTAAAAATAAATTGTTTCATAATTAGCAACTTATACTCAATTAATGTAAAAATACAACAAAATCTAATAAAAGTTACAGATGGATTTACTCTGGTGTGCTAGATTATTATTATCATTTAATTAAGTACAATAATAATAATTTTTAGAATTTATTTATATTTAAATATAAAACAATCTTCCTGATTTATAAATTGCTTCAGTAATATAGAGATAACATTGAATGATCAGGGATATGGCCATCAATATAGCCACTACAATAGCCATCACAAGTACCGAGGTCATAATATAGCCGTATGAGGCTATAATATAATGTACTAAAATAAATATATAATTATTTATAAAACATACAATTTTATTGTAAATTCTTATACATACTTATCACGTGGAAAGTAACCCACAAACAAAGCACATAAATAGTGCCCATAATTGATATAAAGCCCATACAATCACAATGAATGTAATTGCGGACAATGATCAAGGCCAATTGAGTGGTCAGTGTGGTCTGCACGGCAATCACCATATAAGCTAGACCAATTATGTAACCGGTGTCTCCTTGATGTACATACATATAGCTTAAAAAGAGTATCAATTGCACCAACACCAGTAGCGCAATGACCATGGTCACCATACGAAATATAAATCTGGTTGAATAGTGATTACCATGGTTGTTTGCCATCATGGTAACAGTATTGGGCATGAGTAAATTGGCCAATTTCTATGGTATCTCTTGGCGGTAGAGTTTCGTGTTAAATTCTTGGCCGTTGGGCTTCATAATAATTTATTAGTAGTACAAAAAAGTGTCCAGGTTACAATACTTTTAGAATTGTATTGAATTGGTTTATGTTTAAGCTGTTTATTATATACGGATATAATAACTCTAATAGTTTCAAACACACAAAATTATTGCCAATAAATAAATGCAAGTTAGTTAAAACAAAATGATTTGTTTACATAGAGCAATAGTTTTGGATTACCGGATGAATTTTGTTTTGATTTAAATTTGTTTACTTGGGTACTACTATTAGCATTAACAATAATTTATAAGACAATTAATTTACTATATAATGTACAAAGTCTACTTTATTTGAATATATGATTAAAATTGTTATTTTTAAATTGCATATAACTGTAATGTAATTTGTGCATATTTATTTTCAATAAAAACAAATAACTATAATTAATTGTAAAATATATAAATAATGATTTCGTGTATTGTGAGTTAGATTACAAATATTTTAATTAATTGCAATAAAAACTGAACTATGTACTATTCAACAAGTTTGGATAAAGATGAAATTCATGATATCAAATTATTATTATTACAAAATTACTCCAACTGTCAAACCAAACGAACGTACTTTATGAACCTGACCCTAATTTTTGACACAAAGACAAAAAAAATTTTATAAATAAAAGTGCATTTCATTTCACGCTTTGCTTTCATTTTGCTGTCAATACAAATAGTGATACAAATAGTATTTCATACTTGATATACGAGTGATTAGACACAACCCGATGGCCGCCACCACTACTACTACCACTGCAACTGTGGTCTACTTCAAGACGACGGCCTACTCTACGAGCACTGCCACTACGCGTACGGCCTATTCGACGACTACAGTCTACTCTACCACTACTACAACTACAACTACGGCCCACTCGCGGGACTCGTTTGACCGCTTCGGCGACGATCTTAACCAACTTGTGTTGAGACAACTCCCATATCACTCACGTTTCCGACTCGAGTCGGTCTCCAAACAGTGGCGCCGATCGCTCACCCAATTGGTCACCGCATTGGACATCGGCTACGAGTGGTCGCGCGTACTCTCGCCGGACACTATCGCCATTATTCTCGGCAAATACCCGGCCATTAGTGCGGTCAGCATTTGCGTCATTGTCGGCCTAAGTGTCCACCAAATACCCGATGATATACGAGTGTCACCACTAGTATTACAGATGGATAAGGAGTCGGTGTTTCGGGCGCTGATCGCCGGCCGACCAAAACTGACCCGAATTCAAGCCGATTTTGGCGGTCTTTGCGGCGAAACATTGGCCGCATTTGTGGCCGCATTCGGGCCCACATTAGAGCGCATTGAATTCAGGAGCAATTCTCCGGAGAACCAGTCGGTGCTCATCGGGTGTCCGAACCTAAAGGCGCTGAACGTAAGCGCGTGCGAAGATCTGTCGGTAGTGTTCGCTTCGGACGACGGCCGGTGTTTGGCCACCAAATTGGCGGACATTTATTTTAATTACCGCTCGGATAGTGATAGCGAAAGGTTCGCCCGTTTGTGTCAAATAAATGCTTGCAGTTTACGGCGCGTACGGCTTAATGACTACGCGTTTGAGAGACCCGTATTCCAGTCACTGACGGCACTCGACCGACTCGAGCGCCTTGCGATCAGCCATACGTCTATCGATGGCATCCGTGTGGAGCACATCCTCCAAATTGGCCGCAAATGCCGGCGCCTGTCGTCACTGGCGTTTACCGGGTATTCCGATAGTCGGCTCACGACTCAACGCCTATACGATGCTATGGACTCGTTTCGTGGCCTCCGATCTCTTTACATACAGATACTGACAACCGAAAGTGGTCACGGTAATAATTGATTTACAGTTCAGCCGATTGAGATATCTAAAAGCTGACTTCAACATCTTAAAGCCAGATAAACTGGAGATTTTTTGATGTATATAAAGTTATATTAAACAATCTTGGTATATTTTTAAAATTGATCTTTTTACAGAAGAATATTTTCATAGAAAACAATGAAAATCTATTGTCTAAAATCCCAAAATAAATAGAATTACACTTAAAATTACAATAACTTCTTAACCAATGATATTTAAATTGTAAAATTTTATACACAAATATGGAACAATAATGTACATATGAGGATAAAATATTTTTAACCTAGCTCAATGATATGCCTTATAATTAAGCAAAATCTGTACAGCAAAAAGTAGAAGTCCTAGCTAAATTCTGTCTTCACCATTCGAACCAACATTAAAAATTAGTCGATACGTCTATTGGCATTTTTTGGATAATTAATTAAATATAGCATATAGCGCCGAGTAAATATTTTGTGATAATCTAACTTTTTTAATATTGATTTTTAGAAATATTCTAATACACATGTTGACTCTATTTTTAACGTTGGTTCGAATGGTGAAGACAGAATTAAGCTAGGTCTTTTAGTTTTTACAATACAAACTTGGTTTAATTGCAAACACTCCATTGTTTTTCTATGGAAAAATTTGTTTGTAAACAGATCAATTTTAAAAATATACCAAGATTGTTTAATATAACTTTATATACATCAAAAAATCTCCAGTTTATCTGGCTTTAAGATGTTGAAGTCAGCTTTTAGATATCTCAATCGGCTGAGCTGTAAATCAATTATTACCGTGACCACTTTCGGTTGTCAGTATCTGTATGTCTCCGTCACTTGAAGACGTCCGGCGTTGCCGTCGATGGCCTCCAGATTAACGATTAGTAAACTCTATGTGCGATAAATATGTAATTTTTAATTTGCTTTTCACTGTTAATCGCGTCAATAGTTATTTTGATAATTACCACGTTTTATGTTTTCAATTATGTTGATTCCGATCACAAACACAACACAATTAGAAGTTCAATGTTAATTAATAATATAGTTAATAATTACTTAAAAATATATTGGTAACATTATTAAGTTAGTAAATTTTAACAGTACTATTGATACACACTAAATAACAAACACTTGTATTACTACAATTCGTTAAATGATAAGTAATTATTATTATAAATTTTTTTCCAATATATAATTATAATTATTATTACATTTACATTATTAGAAACAATAATTCTTATAACAATAATATGTAATTTATTAAATAATGTAAAACTGTTTTGATTAATAAATGATACCATAATCTTTTGTAAACATAATTATTAATTTTGTTAATCAATTATCATTTAATTAAGTATAATAATAATAATTTTTAGAATTAATTTATATTTAAACATAAATAAATGCAAGTTTTTTTAAAGCAATATGATTGTTTACATATGGCAATAGTTTTAAATTACCATGTGAATTTTGTTTTGATTTAAACTTGTTTGCCAGTCTAATAATTAAAGCATAGAAATATATGCAATAAATCACAATTAAACATTAATAATTATACATTACATTAAAAGTAAAAAATTGACTATAATGAATAATGTTTTGTTAATGTACTCACGAGTCAGTACACTGTACTCTATTGTTTCACTATAGTAAACACATTTTTAAAAAGTCAGGCCATTAACAGTAGGTTAAGGCATGGATTTAGATGATGATTGTGTGATGAACTGTACGCTCGGGTATTCACAACCGGCCACTACTGTGTACATCGCGCCCGTCATTGACCTGAGCCCTGACCTCAACGA